CCCCCCCCCCCCCCCCCCCCCCTCTCTTCTTAGGCGGATGTAGCGCACCTTCCATGAGACTCGCCGAATAGCTCACCGCGCTTCGCGCGTGGTTATGCGAGAGGCTGGTCCGGTGAGAACTCGGCGTGGTCCGTCCCAGCTTCGTAGGGATGCGAGGTCAATGGTCTAACGACTACGGCATGTACGACTATGAGTACNGCGTGGTCCGTCCCAGCTTCGTAGGGATGCGAGGTCAATGGTCTAACGACTACGGCATGTACGACTATGTGTACCCTCCCCCACCCTCCATTCTCCCGCCCGGTGTGCTTCCGTGCCTCATGAAGACACAAGCCAAGGTTATTTCTTGATCTTCCTTACCAGACCCCTGGTGGGCTCGACAACCCCCGCCCACCGTTCGGTGTTCATGAAGGCGCACACGGATGTTTCTTGATGTTCCAAATCATACCGTACCTGCTCGTCGCGGTAGTTCCATCGGCACTGGTGGAAACCCAGGCTGAACATGGGGGGTAGCTCCGGCTTGCCCGTAACCTCGGCGTACTGCTTGAACACCGCGCCGGGCGTGGGCCCCGGCAGCAGAACGAGGTCGAGAGCGCCTCCCTCGCTGATCCACCGCGCCCGCTTGCCCTCCCCAGCGCCGCCTGTTCGGTTGTGTGTTTCGCCCGGGGGGTTGTTAGATAGCAGGCAGCGGCATTGACGGAAACGGGGTAGTTATTTTGAATTATCCAACACCAAAGAGGTGTGTTTGCTTGTGTTTATTATTCAAGTAGGGTGGAACGCGATCACGGCTGACCTCGCTCCTACCGCGGCAAACACAGTAGAACAGCGAGCAGAACTCTTTACGAAGCTGCTGCTGCTGCTGCTGCTGCTGCTGCTGTGCGTACGTAGTACGTGGCCGTTTAGTGGCAACAGCTTGGCTGCTCAAACGTGCCGAGGGGCCCATTGCTCATGTACATCAGTCCCGGAAAGTGACATGGAGGCTCAGTCACGCCCGGCACGCCTCTGCAGCACCCGGGCCTCATACCATCATGCTTGAGTGCAGGCCAACAACTACGACACGAAAATATCGGTCCTTTGCGTATACGTAATTACCAACATGATGACACAGCACCAGTGAAACAGAAAAAAAAAAGCGGGTGATCACAATTTGTGCTGTGAAACAGAGGCCCGAACCCCAGAAAAATACTCGGGTCCTTTCGTGTATCCTATGTTACACGCATCGTGAAAACAAAGAAAAAAGCGAAACAGAACAAATGTAACATGGGCGCTCCTAACGCCTTAGCCACGAAACAGAAAAAAGGGGGCGTGCACAAGCACCTTGCCGTAAAAAGAAAAAGAAAAAGGGGGGGGCCGTTTTTCACACACCTTGTTCTACGTCGACGAAAGTCTCCGTGGGGTTGAACCAGAACACCCCCGCGGTTTGCCCTCTGCGGTGCCCCAGCATGACGGGTATCGCTCCGTACAGAGCGGCCGACGAGTCCAGCTCGTACTCGAACACGTCGAGGGTGTACAGCCGGTACGGCTCGGAGAAGTGCGGGGGCGCCGCGATTTCTCCGTCGGGGGTGGTGGTGGTGGTCGTCGTCTTGAGGGACATCGAGGCCGCGTGCTCCGGGATGCCGTAGACGTGGTCGGAACCTGCGAGTGTGTGCGCCGGGGTGAGTGTTCTATTGTATGGGCCGTCTTCCTGTAGCGGTAACGTTGAGTTACGACCCAGTGTACCAACACACCACGCAACCGGCGGAAACCCCAGAGAGGATGTTGTCATAGCCTACCCTCCCCCCCCCACCNCACGGTCGTTAGGACGTTTGTTTCCCGTTTTCCACCGTGCTAAGTCTGTTCAAAAGTCAGCCTGTTAGCGCGGCCGACGCTAGTAATAAACACACACACACACACACACACACACAGACTGACGGCTTTTCATTGGTCAGCCGGTTAGCGCGGTCGATGCTAATAATAAAAACACACACACATACATACACACGTCAGCCGGTTAGCGCGGCCGATGCTAGTAAGACACGCACACACACGAATGTTTTCTTACCTGGGAAGTAGACGTCCATGCCCACGCTCGTGGGACCGTCGGGCTTGCTGTCGGGATGTCCGTCGAAGCTCTCCTCCCAAAGACCCAACCCGCTCTCTGCCGCCACCCCAGCACCATCGCACGCCCCCCCGCCCCCACCATTTGTTGTCCCGTGGGAGGCAGGAATCGTACCGTGGAAGGCAGGCATCGTAACGTGGAAATAAGGAAGGAAGGCAGGCCGGCAGAGACAGGCGGGAAGACAGACAAAAAAGAGACCGGAAAGTCAGGAAAACACCGCGAAAACGCCAAGCCGAAAGCTGCGCAGGGAAAGCTCAGTAGAAGGAGGGCTGTTGAAAACCGGGCATTGTGTGTCAAAATACGAGCCTCGGGAGAGTGTGTGCCCCGGAAACCAAGGCGCCTCTCAACACCAAACTACAGCGGCGGCAGCGGCGGTTGATTATCTATCCTGTGGCGCGATGAAAAATGGTGGCTTGTCTATGGGGGGCCGCGGCGAGCCAAGGTGGGGGACGAGGGGTGTGTGTGCCAGCATCACCTCCTGCGATTGTCTGGTACATGGGCGCGAAATTTTAAGCCAAAGGCAAGACGTTGACAAGGCTCTGGAAAACCTTCCGTATTGCGGAGAATCTGGGATCCCGGAAAGTCAGATCTGTGCGCGTGCGATTTGTCGCGGTCTCCGGTAATTATTTAGCAACAACGAGTAGAGAAATCTTCTTTCAAGCATCCCTTCCAGTCGTGGAAGTGCTGGCTTGGACGACACAGGAACAAGAAGTACGACACAGCTTTTGAATACGGGCAGGGTTGTTTACCGACGTTCGATCAGCGTCAGCGCAGAAGACAACAACACCGCGAAAGGACAGCAGTTTCTGCCTTCGCACGCAAGCGCGAGGCTTGGGGACCAACACACAAACAAGTCAAAAACAAGAAAAAATATCACCTTATTCTCGAACCCGTCGCCACCACTGACACAACCACCGCCACCGCCTCTGCCAACTCCAACAAGGCCTGGATCTTGACGGTACACTCCAACCGCCCATCATCTCACCGTCCATGTTAACAACAACCATCGCCACCGCCGCTACCACAAACACCACCACCACTATCACCACCAACGACAACCCCAACCGCCCAACATGATCTCACCGTCCTTGCCCTGCCTGGCCGCCTCTGCTTCCTCGAGGAGCCTACTGTGCTCTTCCTGTGTCTCCCTCGTGCCATCCTCGTAGATCGCCAGACCGTCCTCCCCATAGTCTTTCACCTTTGTGTTGACATCGCAGCAGCAGACGAGTTAAGGGTGAGGGCAAGAGAGAGCAGGAGACGAACAATGAATCGGAACACTTGTGTCGCGCTGTTGTGTTTTTGCAGCAGATGACTTGACGGAAAGAGGCGAGATGGCCAACATATATCGGAACACCTTTGTAACGCCCGTCGTGTTTTGCGGCAGATAAGATGAGGGAAAGAGAGCAAGATGGTAGGTGCAAGTGTTCTTCGCGGCTAGGTCCTCGCCGACATCTTTTATCAGTCTTCTGCCTGTGAAGCGCAAACAGACTAGGGGACTACACCTCATACACCATTTCCCCGACTTAAGGGCACTAACGGTTTTCGCGATACAAAGTGTCCAAATGGCGAAGAATCCAGACGCAGCATCGGGGACACATCGGTGTTCCAAATAGTTGGTGATTGAAAACGACATCCACCTGTTTGGCATGCCTTCCCCGTCACCAACCTCTTCCTCCCAACGGTTGCATACTCTTATCTGTTTGATTCTACGATGAATCGATCGCCTGCATCGTGCCATGGTTGTTGCTGCAAGTATGCATCACGACAGCAGTGGCCAATCAGCGTCCAGATTGAGAAAACGCATGAACCGACGGGTACCCTTAGTTCTCAAAGCAGAGAGAGACGGGGAGGGGGCAAGAATGAGGCGCCTTTGCGGTACAGATCATGCGTCGAATGTGTTTTGGAAACACCCTTTCACCGAACCGTCCTGGCCGTAGACCAGCCTCGTAAACCCTCCGTGTGGTGTCCAAAACAGATACGAACGCAAAGCAGACAGCGTTCGGACAACATCCATGACAGCGCTGGCAGCAGCAGCGGCAGCGGCAGTATCAACGCAGTCTCACAAGGCGCAGCCTTCTCCGACCGTGCACGAACAACCCCCCCCCCCACGCGTGCGCCGGCGGTACCCCGGTGAACCGTAACGGGGACAAACGAAAAAGACGGACGCTTGTCACACCTTCTTGCCACGGTGGAGGTCGACGGTCTTTCCCCCGGCACCGCCTTCCCCCGCGGCGGCAGCGTCGTCCTTGCCCCGAGTTTGCTCGAAGTGCATCAGCCCTCTGCCGCCGCCACCGCCGTGTGGAAAAAGAACGGACACCGTCCGGGGGGCGAAAGTCAACAAAGGATGGACTTGAGGTTAGTGACATGTAGGAGTGGGGTGTGCTCTCCCTCATGCAAACGCATGCCGTAGTCGTTAGACCATAGAACCCGCATGCCGGGTTTTCGCCGGCCGAGGCTACGTTTCACGAGGACGGACCAGAAGCTTTCCATAATCAGGGGTGGCTCCGTGTTTAGGGCTGGCACCTCCATGGTGTTCCCCATCAACTGAAGACGCAGGTTTACGTCCAGATGACCTACCCCGACGGAGGCATGTAGCCGGTGAACCCGTGCGGCGTCTCCAACCCTGAAATCGGCTGCTGATAAACCACGAAACGCGGAACGGGGATTTCCAAGCCTCGCGCCACGAATGTCGAGCTCGAAAAAATCGGTACTACGGGAGTGCGACATATTCTGTCACCTACTTACACAAAATCGTCGCTTCTTAATTCACACACCCCTTTTACCTCCTGTTGGCAGAGACAGCGAGCTCGTCCCCGGCGTAGAGGTCCGCCTGGAACGGTTCGTACCGCACGCTCAGCACGTAACGCCCGCTGCTTCCGCCGCCACCGCCGGCAACATTACCGCCATACTTGCCGTAGGCCGCCAGCACTCCCCGCCAGCCTTCGGGCAACTCTTGCAAGGCGGGCGGGAGAGAGGGATCACCCGGGGACAGCAGCGTGTGCTCCGCTGCCTCCAGCTGGTGCTCTAGGAACACGTCCGGAGGCTGTGGTTATTGTTTTTTTTTTGGAGGGGGGGGGAGGGGGGGCACGGTGGAAGGACAAAGCGCGTAGGGCGGGCAGGGGGGGGGAGCAGCTGTTGGGAAAAAGAAAAAAAATATTCCAACGTTGTCCGGATAGGTCTCGTCGGCTATGGCTATCGCTATTTATTGGTGGGGGGGGCGCCGCGGAAAGCCAAAACGTGGTAGTGCCGGGGGGGGGGG